ACAAGTTATCAGATAAATTGAAAGAGTTATTCAGTGCATTTGCAGCCCCTTACATTGTTATCGATTGTGTTAAGCAACTGAAAGCATTCCATATCGATTCTGAAGATAGTGTTTTTAAATCCAAGAATTCCAAAAATCAAAAAGCATTTTTGGAAGAAATTGGACATCTTATTATCATCAATATTTTGTCTACATTATCTAAAAGCTTTCAACATGATAATAACTCTACGTTTGCCACCACCGATAGAACCAAAAAATTATATCCTCTAATATTGGATCAAGTAAGTCACTTTAATTATTTTGAAATTTTTCAATTTAAAATGATGTAGACTTATTTTTCGTCACCTGAAAATATTTATCATGTGGACTTCATTAACTGATTGTTTCATTACATCAAAATGTTACTCACTATTCCAATCAAAGTTACTAATCTATCCTCTTCTTTTATATTTCACAGATAACAAATGATTTCGGACCAGAAGATAAATTTATTGAAAGAATTGACAATGGTTTAATTCCCTGTGTTCAACATCTGGTTAGAGCTGTTAATGATCACAATATCGTCAAAGATGTTAACTATCAAATATTATTAAAGACTAGAGAAAACTCAGTCAAGGTTAGTTTTTCATTTGGAATATTTCGATATCAATCCTTCAAGCTTATATTTTTCTAATTAATTTTTTATCATCTTCTTCTAGGTTCGTTATCAATCTCTTCATGTGCTCCATCAACTCATATTGTCAATGACCGAAGAGTACACACCATATATTCCAGAAGCTATTCCTTTCTTGGCTGAACTCCATGAAGACGATTCTGAGATTATACAAAAATTATTACTCACTGTGTTCAGTGATATTGAGAAAATTTTCGGAGAACCGATTAGTTCATATTTCTGAGAAAAATCAGAATTTTATAAATGCTGCAATAATGATGGACATATATTGCATATAATTTAAGTTTTACGTCCTTTTGTAAAATTTGTATAATAAAATGACCAGGGTAAACCAAAAAATATTAAACTATTTCATTAAGCTTGAACCTGGATTTCCCATTTTTGTAATTTTTGTACCTTTAATTGTATCTCGTCTCTATTTTCACGCTTCCATGGAAGAGATAGTAAATACTTTGAAAAAATTTATTTATCAACAAATCATGTTTGAATAAATATAAATGAGTTGAGTTAAATTACAAACCAAAATGTCGATTTAAATCATCTTGATTAGCCTGTCAATGGCATACTTACGGGTGAAAGTAAAAATTATCATTGGTTATTTTAATCAGCCTGTCAACCAGTTAACCAGTTACTTTACAATCTGGAGTTTACAATTAAAATTTAATTCGACTCAATAAAGGATCCTAAATTGCAGCTGGATCAAAACAATGTTGTTGACGAATGACTAACATCTTTAGATGAAATATCGTTGTATTGTGAATCAGAACCGATCAATCACCTTTCTATTACAATTTCACTTGACGCCTTCATTTTCATTAATAATAAATATTTTATATTTAATACTTTATCTGCTATCTTCTTAATATTTTGATGTATTAATATAATAAGCATCAGCTTAGCACAGTTTTATTGAATTTTTTCAATTTTACTATAAACTGCATCCATTTGTATGATTTAAAAGTTCTCTGATCAGTAGATGTCAAAATAATCGAAGTCGAAACTTGGATCGCTTTTTGTTCTGCTATGGAAGCGAATTTTTCCATGAAAATCATTTATGTAACTTTTGATGAGCCACCAGAAAATGTACTTTTTTGAGAAATAAAATTTTCTTTTTTTCGAAAAACAGTTAAGTTCGATTTTCATTTAAATCGACTCTTTTTGATAACCGTGTGCGTTAGAGAATTGAAACTTAATATTCGTCGATAAAAATGATTTGTTAATATCATGCATTGAATAATTTTTATTAATTCGTCAATAGTTCTCTTAATATTAGCCATTAATCTAAAAACTTTGAGCCTCAATATTTCGGAAGCGTTATCACTTTAAATTATAATTCTTTGGCCAAACCATAGATTTTATTATGGTCTATAATCTATTCAAATATTAAATCATTAAAGAAACTAGAAAAAAAAGTCATAACATTGCATTAATTATGTTACCAGATTTTACCATATTTAAAAAGTTAAATGTTTACTCAAACTTAAATCATTGATAAATGATTAGTCAGAATTTCCTTCAATATTCAGTTATATACTGTTATAGTCCATGATAAAATCTATGGTTTCGCTTAAGAATGATCATTTCAGGTGCTGCTATCATCGAATCACATTTTTAAAAGTTACATTAAATGTTAAATAAAATGGTTAACTAACAGAGCAAGTTTGTTGAATAAAACAAGATGAAAGTCCATTTGCAAAAGCATCATTTTACCCGCATGCTGTTCATCTGGTATGATTCAATGGCTTTTAAAAGCTACCGAGCTAGCTAAGCGGGCTCTTACATGTGGCTTATAATCGATAGAAGATCATCAAACTGTTTCGATTGCGGCAAAGACTAATCTTTATTTTGAGCCAAGCTTATTGAGTCCATCTAATGATAATGAACCAGCTAAAACTAGACCAGTACTTAAAGATAATATCTTCAAAGTGCTACTCAAACTATATTGTCCAATACGGACCATTGTTCGGATCGGTGTGTAAATCGATTTCTAGTTCCCTCGTGTTTGCGAATTCCCAGTTATTGGATGCTTTCTTAATATTCATGGTTTCCGATGAACCAATATGGAAAGGTTTTGTTATCGCTTCCCTTATATTTGCAACGCCACTCTTTCAATCTCTCTTGGATTCGTAATATGAATTTGGACTCAAGTAGTTTCAATAGGTTCTTCACAACTTGTTTTAAGAAATGCCAATCCCAGATTATGAAGGAAAAGAACGTTCGATGTAAAATGATTAGCGAAATTTTGAATGGTATGAAAGTTTTAAAACTGTATGCATGGAAAGGTGCTTTTGGTGAAATTGTTGCGTCAATTAGAAGAAAAGAAATCAAGAATCTGATATTCCAATTCATTTGGCTAGCACTTATTTTCTTTGCACTTGGTTGTGGACCTTTTCTGGTAAGTTTTAATTTAAAACATTGGTTAAGACCTAAAAGAGCAATAGCTAAATTCAAATGAATGAACACGCGAACACATATGCTTAAGTCTAGAAAAGTGATTGAATTTACTCGAGAATGTGGACATTAGTGATAAAGATCAAACAGTTTGCTTCGATCTGCACAAAATTTGCTTACTAAATCAACTCTTTTCAATCTTAAGCTCTTGTGAATCTACACTTTGGGTTTTAGGTTGTTGCTGAAAAGAAACAATTAACACATTCATTCACAAGTTGACAGAAATGGGCTTAAGTTGGTAAAAATGAATTTCTTTCAAATTTAGACGATGTAAGTTTGTTTGCATATAAAAACTGAATCAATTAATGCTATTTAAAAGTTTCTCTGATCGATAGTTATCACAAGAATCGAGTCTAAAGTTGAAACTTCGATCGCTTGTTGTACGTTTATGGTAGCAGAGTTTTTCTTGAAACTCATTTTGTCGAGGTAACTTTTGATGCTGAACCAGAAAATGGACTTAATTTGAGAAATAGAATTTTCTTTTTTTTCGTAAAACCACTAAGTTCGATTTTCATTTAAATCGACTTTTCTGGAGAACCAAATCAGTAAGAAAGCTGAAACTTCGTATTCGTCGATAAAAATGATTTGTTAATATCATACATTGAATAATTTTTTCCCTTCATCAATAGTTCGCTTAATTTTTGTCATTGACCTAAAAACTTTGAACCTCAATAGTTCGAGAATGACATCACCTGAAATTATCATTCTTAAGCGAAACCATAGATTTTATCATGGACTATAACAGTATATAACTGAATACCGAATAATTCATTTATCAATGATTTAATTTGAGTAAACATCCAACTTTATAAATCTGGTAAAATCTGGTAACATAAATAATGCAATGTTATAACTTTTTTCATAGTTTCTTCAATGATTTAATATTTGAATGTATTATAGACCATAATGAAATCTATTGTTTGGTCAAATAATGATAGTTTCAAGTTCTACCATTCTCGAACTATTGAGGTTCAAAGTTTTTAGGTCAATGACAAAAATTAAGCGAACTATTGATGGAGGGAAAAAATTATTCAATGTATGATATTAACAAATCATTTTTATCGACGAATACGAAGTTTCAGCTTTCTTACTGATTTGGTTCTCCAGAAAAGTCGATTTAAATGAAAATCGAACTTAGTGGTTTTACGAAAAAAAGAAAATTCTATTTCTCAAATTAAGTCCATTTTCTGGTTCAGTATCAAAAGTTACCTCGACAAAATGAGTTTCAAGAAGAACTCTGCTACCATAAACGTACAACAAGCGATCGAAGTTTCAACTTTAGACTCGATTTTTGCGAGAACTATCGATCAGAGAAACTTTTAAATAGTATTAATTGATTCAGTTTTTATGTGCAAACAAACTTACATCGTCTAAATTTGAATAAAAACAATTCTCGCTCGTTTTAGTCCACTTTTGCTCAACTTTGTTTCAATTTGTGCTTAAAAGAAACAATTGTGTTAAAATAAGTCTTTTAAGCAACAACTAGGTTTTAGTTGCAGTGTATTAAGTTGCTTTTGGCATAAACTTTAAGATCATAATCATACTATTAAACAATTCGTGCTTTGACTCTTTTTTCGCAGATAGTGATTGAAAGAAAACGTTCAAACCATTTGATAAGTTTGACTTTACTAAGAAACTAGCAAACAACTAATCTGAAGTTATATTATGAACTGCATAAATGTATGAATTGTATTTAATTGAACTCAATAATTAGAATAATTGCATAAATCAAATGTTGACAAGTCATGATTACTTTTGATTTCGCAAAGTTGTCTACTTGATAGCTTTTTGTATCACGAAATATTGCCATTGAAACCTCCAGAATCAGCTCTTAACCCAGTTTGGTTAATTTTTTGTCCAACTGAGGCTATTTGATCAGTTTAATGTTTCCTTGATTCATCATCGATTGAGACTATGAAATAACTGATTGTCAGATGCTAAAAAGATGGTAACCAGTTGATGATCAAATATAATTTACATGTTCCTTTTTAAATGCATCAATTTTACATAAAAGCACAATCTTTGAATCAAAATTACCATATTTCCGATCGCTATATCAGTTAATATAATTATAATTGGCTTTACAGTTTTAAAATATGATTTACTTGTCAATTAGTGTTCGAAATGCTTCAATATTTCATCAATAGAGTTGGCTGAATTTTATAGTTTAAAAATTACTCGATATTATTTTGATTTACCTTATTATACAGTGAAAACATCTATTATATTATGAGTTACTTATTGATTCAGTTACTTCAAGGATTTTAAACGTCAAAGTTATTCACTAAATCAACACCATCATGTATGCTTGTAACACCAAATGTTAAACCTTTGGCAATCCGATATTTGGTTTTACTTGAAGGGGATAATTTTTACTTTTATTGAGCATTTACATGAAACTAGTCAAATCATTTACTTGCAACTAACAAAGAAAATTTTGATCATTGGTTTTGCAAACTCAGAACTGTTCTCAGTTTTCATTATTACACATTCACAGTTCAAGTGGAACAAAAGCTTACATTGTGACAACATAGTTCAACTTTTCTTGTTGCCATTTTTCTGTCTGGTTTTTACTGCGTTGTTTTAGTTTATTGTTGTTTCTTTGTAAATTAACCATGATTTTGTATTTTATTTCAGTGATACTTCTTTTAATTGTTAATTTGGATGTTTGTACATCAAGTAAATCATGTTCGCCCAATTGTTTTGCCTCTGTCTACAGTTTATCAAATAATGCAGCCAAAAGTGAATGTACTTCAAGGGCTGACTGTTTGGTCAAGGCAACATTTCGTGTCATTCAACGTGGTGCTTTCGATGAAGCTATTAATCTAACAGTGATTGCCTATGGAATAAATACCGATACTGATCGTTCAGTAGCATTTGCTCTTCACAATTCAAATGAGCGAATCGAGTATTGGTGCCAATCGCCCAGAAATGGAAAGCCTCAAGCCAAAGTTGTCCAAGGATCCAACTCCACCTTCCTAGAAGGTAATGCACAAAACATAAGCAATGCTTTGGTTTGCCATTGGACTTTTGGTAAAGATGACTACATATGGCCAACACACGCCAATTATTCG